GGCTAAATTGGATGCTCCATTTTGGTCTTTCGCCTAGATTTAACCCTAATGTTAAGATCATTCAGGTATGTAAATGACCGAGTTTATGGTTTGAGAAAAATCAGCATTAAAAGATCTGGTTTAAAGCTAGTAGTCTATTTGGTTGTTAATCTTTTGCCTTGTCATGAGAGAGTTAGTTTTGCCAAATCTGGTGCTGCAAAAGCTGTAATGATATAACCCCACTGTGATCTGTTTGCAGGTTGACCTTTGTGCTGAGGAGATGGGCAATAACGTGAGGCCAGCTGTTGCTCTCCTTGGAGATATCAGTGCTGTTGCCACTCAGGTACATTTTCAGCAACTCAGCCCATTGGCTCATCTTTCTCTTTGATGTCTTTCCCATAACGTTAATTTAGGAATCAAAAGCAAACCTGTTTCATCAACATTTGCGCTAATGGTAAGAACCTGTGTAGAACTATGTTTTTCTCTCATAGATAATTCACTATAGCATAAGATCTGGTTGTACTTGTGCAGCTCTTAATGGCTTCTTTAATCATTGGTTTTTAAGCCTGACGACACTGAGGTCTGAACACTTTGTTCAGAGTTTTTTGTTTGTTTTTATATTTTCTTTGCTCCTCTCACTGAATTTTCAGACTGAAATATGCGACAAAAAATATGTCTGTAAAAAGCAAAATGGCAAAAACAAAGCGTATTTCATATACAGAGGAGTTTGAATTGCTAATATATGTTAATTGAGGCCTGAGATGTACTTCTTGGGTTTTTTGCAGTTTCTCTGAGCGCTGCATGGTCTGACCTTGGGGTGAATTTGTTAATAAGATTTCCACTTGTGAATAATTTTCCTCACAGTACGATGATGGACTTGAAATTGTTTGCAAATGGCCTTATAATCATTCCCAGATTAATGGACAGCAACATTTGCTGAGATTGGTGTTGTCTTTCCTCCTCGGCATTGTGTTCACACACGACCACTTGCTGATGATCAGTTAATCAAATGCATTTGATTAGCAGCACCTGGCTTCTACATTCTCTCTCAGTTCCTATGGAAACAGTGAGGACATTCACAAGACTGCTTTTGCATTTTATTACGATTACATTGTGTTAAATGTCATGGGGTTGTTCTTCCTCTGAGGTTGCATCTACCAAATTTTAAGACCAGGTAAGGACCAGATGATTTCTTTTAAACGTCTTGTGCTGTATTTTTAGCTCGACTATATTCTCTATATCAGTGACACGAGTACAGTAACATTCAACTGTAATAGCAGTGTTTTTGTTTTTTTTTCTTCAGCTGCTACTGTGTGTCCGTAGAGATGGTTGGAAATACCCCTCTAACGCTGAGTGGTGGAGCACGTTAAAGAGCAAGATTGCTGCTAATGCAAAAATATCAAAGGTGGGTTTCACCAAAGTTCTTCTAATCCTTCCTTAGAATTTGGACCACCAATGGAAAGCTTACATTGTTGTTCTGTGCATGGTTACACTGTATCAGCCTGCCGATGACATTAAATTATATATTTAATCCATTTAGATGTTGTCTCTGTTTTTTGTGTTTCTTGCCAATAGGCACTTGCTCTACAGTCTACAGTGCCCTTGAACTACTACACAGTGTTTCATCACATCTCCCAGCTGCTGCCACATGACTGCATCATTGTCAGCGAGGGTGCAAACACAATGGACATCGGACGCACCATGTTAAATAACTACCTACCTCGACACAGGTAAGCCAGTCAAGCGCACTGACTTTTTTGTTGTTTTTTTTATGCTAACAAATCAATTTAGACTAAACTGTGAGTTAATGTATATCTATTAGATTGCTGTAAACTAATTTTGATGATGTTCAGACTGGATGCAGGCACTTTTGGAACAATGGGAGTAGGTCTCGGGTTTGCTATCGCAGCAGCTGCTGTGGAGGCGAGCCAGAACACCGGCCGAAGGGTCGTCTGTGTGGAGGGAGACAGTGCCTTTGGGTTTTCTGGTATGGAGGTTGAGACCATGTGCAGGTGAACTGAGTCCAGTGTTTCTATTCAGTATTTGCAGTTTAACCGTCTATTGACTTCACATTCTTCTCTTTGTGTTTTGTAAATCAGGTATAGCCTACCCGTGGTTGTTATTGTGGTCAATAATAACGGCATTTACAGCGGAGTAGATTCTGAAACATGGAAAGCAATGAAACAAATGGGAGAGCTGACCTCTGTGTGAGTGAGATACTTTTGAGAAAATGATCATAAAGTGAATTCACTGATAGTTTTTATTGATGTCTTATGCTATGACGTAGCAAAAGTTGTCTTACATCGTCACACTGTAGGGCCCCTCCCGTGTCCCTTCTACCTGACGCTCGCTATGATGAGGTGATGAAGGCGTTCGGAGGTCGAGGGTTGCTGGTGAGGACGGTGGAGGAGCTGCGCAGTGCCTTACAGCTTAGCCTGAGTGACTGGGAGAGACCAAGTCTCATCAATGTGCTCATTGACCCTTCCTCAGACAGGAAGCAGCAGGTAACTACAACTGTTAGGAGCACATGTTTATAGAGTCTGCATGTTTATAAAGTATGCAACAACATTAACCACGTCTTGCCTGCCAGACAGACTTGAGGGTGAGCGTCTCCCAGGTGCACCTGGAGTAAAATTCTCTACATGCACAGGCAACTCTAGAAAAATAATGCTCCACCTTGTGGTCACGGTTGTAATAACAACTCCTACCATAGTCAGAGCATCTCTGTGGCTCTATCAAATATCTGGACTTCTGCGCTGTGGAGCGTTTGCCGTACACTGGAGAAACATGGAGGGTCTAAGGCGGTCCGAACATGTTAACACAGTCTGGAATAAAGACTTGACATATATCACTCATATCAGAAATCTCATCTCATAGCATGTTTTACACCTTTGCAGCCCTGAGTCCTTGCAGACTATAAGCGGTACTATATGACAAAAGGCTGCAAATCAGATCACAGAATGTTTTTAGTATTTGGTCCTGGTGCACCACAGAAGGCATAAAGAGACTGAGTGACACCAGCAGACACAGCAGTAAAGCCAAGCCTGATTTAATCCAGTGTTTCTTTGGTCTCTGCTTTGCATACAATAAACAGCTTCATGTTTACTTGACTCTTCCTCATCCTTTGAGGGCTATGTTACCAACATGCCTCGCTGAGCCGTAATCCTCCTGCTCCAGGTGCACCAGAACTGTTGTATTCCACTCACAATCCCTCCACCTAACACCAACCTGACCTTTCTATTTCAGGGCTCCCATAATTAGAAAGCAAGGCCCTCCGTGTTTATGTTGAACGTATCCACGCAACCTTTTGCAGACACGGTTGAAGGTTGTATTGAGTAATGTATCCACAGCACTGAGCTCCACGGCTGTGCCAGCAGAAAGACTTGTCCCTGACTTTTAGTGTTGCGCCTTTACCTTTCGACACCCAACTTTAATTCATTCCTGTCAGACTTGAAGCTGACAAGATTTAGTTTTGAAAATTTGAAGAAAACTTTTAGTTAATTTTTATTACCTGGAAAAACCTCTGTTTTACTGCTTAGATCTCCATTACAGTACAATATTCCTCTAGATCTTATTACACCGTATAGCTAATATAAACACTGTGTTGTCTGTTTGCAGGAGTTTCCTTGGCTCACACGTTCCAACCTGTAGATTTCCAGAGCGTTTCAGAACAGCAGTGACGGTTTTCTCCTGGAAAATATCAAACTGCTTTTGTTTTTCTGGTTGTTTCCATTAATTAATCTAATATTTTGCTATTACTATACTGTGAATAATATGAAAAATATGACTACAATAAAACATTTCACACAGAGTGCATGCTGTTTCTTTATGTCAGTTTTTTCCCCTCTTAATCTGGACTGCAACTGTGAGTTGCCCTGTTGAGTATTGCCTACATTAATGAAATGTAATAAAATTAAATCTGGAGAAAAGGAGAAAATAAACGCATTTGACAAACTTTTTTTTCTTTTTGCAAATGAACCAGCTAATCTTTACAGTTGAATGTAGAGATTTGTCAGTAATGGGGAAACTTTAGATGAAATCAACAGGATTTTTCTCATTTCCATAAGTTTTGTATCCTTTTCCACAACTTGTCTGAAAAATCCTAAATGCGCAACAAAAAAAGCAATGCAAGCTAAAATAATTTGGTAGAAAATTGCATTGCTTTGTATCTCTTAAGTTGCAAGCTTGACATGATTGCTTTTTGTAATTTATATAAAGAAAAAAGCATAATTTATCTTAACCTCCTAGGACCTGAACTCTTCCCCAGCATGCATTTTTAATTTCTCTTTGATATTTGGGCATATTGGGGCCCGATGAATGTAAAAACAAAGAATTACCAGATTTTTGTTTTTACCTTATTTTTGTTTTTAAGAAAAATCAGAGCCACATATGAGGATATACGTTTAAAATTTTGATAGAACAGTAGCAGTATAATGTCCTTGTAAGTGGATATCAGGCCCATGTAGAGCAAAATTGAGTATTTTAGTCTAAATAACCCAAAATGTGATGTCCACACGCCAGGTCCTAGGAGGTTAAAGTGCTGCTGAGAAGTAATGGAGTCTGTTTTTCTAGGTCCTTTGGAAATGCAGACACTTGACATTGTGTAAAAGACTTGCCACAGCAGTATAGTGCGCACTAAATAACTTGATGCACAGTGTACTTCATCACAAAAAAACACATTCATCTAAACATAATTAGACTGTGGACTGATACATCTAAGAAAGTTGTAACATATTGACATCTTCATTCAGAATGCTCTCAGCATGTCTTGCAGAAAAGCACACAGGGAGTCTCACAACTTTCCCTGAAGAGAGACAATAACAAAAGCCCCCCACTGCAGTAGTAGAGATCTAATATTGGCACCAGGAGCAGCTGGCAGGCTGTCTCCTGTAATTTTAGTGCACACTGATGCAGAGGAAAGATTTAATGGGTATTGGTCAGCGTACCCTCTTCTGAGGGCGTAAAGGAGACACAGCAGAGTGAACGCAGAGGGAGGGGGGCAGAGAGAGAGGACAGTGAGAAGAGAGGGAGTGGAAAAAGACAGCGTGAGAGCTGCTGTGGATCAGAAATAAAGTCAGGCAACTATCCGGAGCAGCATGACTCTTCTAACACTTGGACTGTATCTGCCATTGTGGTTTTGTTATGGCCTGGCTCAGCCTTCTTTTCTGGACAACTTTGATTCATTCCCAGCAGGTAAGAGCGTTTTAATCCTGAGCTTGAACACTGTATACTGTACTGTGCGTGCACAGGAGCTGGTGGATTTGAGCTGCAAAAGCACGGATTCTGAAAGTCTCAATTTGAGATTCACGTGGCACTCATGATAATACCCTTGTTTTTATTTTCTTGTTGTCCATGAGGTAGGTTGGAAAGGCCTCTATAAATAGCGAGAACAGCTCCGGCTCTTCAGTGAGAGGCACATGGGCTTCATATCCGTCCAGTGCTAGGAATTCTGCTGGATGGGTGTCATGATTTGATAGTTTGCACCTGTTTCTCTGTTGCTTGTGCTGCTCCAGCATGCTGTAATTGCTTCAGTTTGTCAAATTTTTGATCTGTCCCGCCTTAATTTGTCGTAAATGAAGTTTTTCTCATCTCGCATTCATTATCGCGGGTGCAGAAGTTAAAACAACACACAAAAAAACCTTCCTGGCTTCATATACCTTTGATACCCTGTTTAATTTGTGACTGCATGCCCACCTTGCGCAGCTCTCAGATCACCGGATCAGCAGAAGAGGTTCAACCCATGCTGTTTAGTGAGTCCGCCTCCACCACCGCTGTTTCCTCCACCCCCTTCACTTTGGCGCCTCTACCCTCATGTGAGTCAAAGTCATGTGACTTTCTATTGTGAATCTCTAACTATTGACATGTCCTTGATTTATATCCAAAAACACCACATTTCTTACAGCCTTTTGACCCCTGGTCAAGAGTCTCTCGAATTTAATGTCAACAACTGTATGAATAGCATCAAACCTGCTCTTGAAAATGTTGTCAAGACCGAAGAAGTCATCGAATTGCATCTTTATTTATATTTTACAGAGTGATGGAAATTCCCGTGGTGGTCGCGAGTCTGATGTGGACAATAACAATAAAGTTTCTTCTTGCCCAGCAGGCCCTCCGGGGCCTCCTGGCCCCCCAGGACCTCAGGTGGGAAACCAGGCTATTCCTAAAACATCATGGCTATCCTTTTGTATCTGGAACCGTGCCACTGTTATTGGACTCTTCCAATAAATCTCTCATAATGTAACAGGATTCATCACCACTATAACTAAAGCGTCAGTCTCTGTTTCATGTTGGAGTCTACGTAGTTTTAAGGTGTTAAAAATTAGTACCCCAACTACATATTAACCGCATGTCTTCTCCAACTTGATAGTTCCTGTATAGCAGGAGATGGGGATTTCTCTGGCCCATGCAACACAGCAACCCATTAACGCTCCACTTTTAGCTGAGACACAAATAGCCTTTTTCCACCGGCTGCCAGTGTCCCACACATCATTCTCAGAAACTGTCTGAAGAGCTGTCTGCTTGGAAACGAGCACTGGGTCGCGTAAATTCCAGGGCTCACCAAAACATGCTTGTGTCCAGGTGTTTGTGTTCTCTAGTGATTGAAAGATGCAAAGACCTTTCGGTTCAAAACGCCCTCATAACCCAACCTGCTCCACTGTTCTCCACTGTGTTCCAGCATTTCATAAGTGAAAGCAGATTTACCAACTGATTGTTAAAGCTTTTGCTGCGGTTGCTCATCAGAGGTCCAACCGCAGCAGCATTTCTCTTTATCAAAGGAGGCCCACAAGGCAGCTTTTAAATCAATAGTGGCCACTCAGCCTTTAGCTAATTGAAACTGCAGCTTCCAGAAACAGAACAGATCTGTGGTGGGATGCTGTGGACAATAAAATGAATTTAGATGGCTATCTCTGTGATTTAGGAGCATATAGCACAAATCTAATGTTTTCTTTTTATGTTCATTAGGGTCCCCCTGGATTACCTGGGATAGCAGGGCCTAAAGGAGAAAAGGTAAGGAGTGTACTTATCGAAATTAGATAAAACTAGACTGTCTGCTTATTATTCTAATAAGCTAAAGTGCAACTGACCTTTTGCACACAAATGCTTTCTGGAAGTGCATTAAATGACTGCCGTCCTTGTCCCCTCCTCCACATCCTGTTGTCAGGGAGAAATAGGAAGACCTGGTCAAAAGGTGAGAGTCTCCATTAATCACTCCATGTTCTTTGCTAAGTGGATTTACTCAAAAAATGAGATACAATGCCTCCGCCTGCTCGCTCGCTGTAAGTCACAGTGCTGCCAGTGCCTGCTTGTGTACATCCCGAAATTGTGAGGATATACAACCTTGACAGGAGGCAGAACAGACACACTGACAGGAGGCAAATGGGTGCAGGGCTGCTGAGACAGGCTGTTTTTGTGGCTGAGGGACTTTACATGCTCTCAGTCTGTTTCTCTCACCGAAGCGGAGCATATTGCTTCCCTATCAACATTCCGCATCAGGCTAGCCTGTCCGACGGTCCTCCTTCTCCTAACATAAAGCTTTATTGAAAGCTCGGGACACACTATGTGATGAGCACAGGTAGAAGAGTAGCGTCCTCCTAAATGAATCAAAGCTGTCCAATGGGGGAGCTTCAGCGGCCTGACTGAGCAGCTTTGCAGCACCGCAGAGCAATTTAGCTTAGTGTTTCAGCCAGGTTATTAATCATTTTATTTCCCACAAGCACAGACTCCTGTTCTATATACAGCCCATCATTTAATTAAAGAGAGCAAAGTGACAGGGCTCGTTAAAGCCATTCTCCCCCTACATGTGCAGCAGCGTCTGAAAAATGCTGTAGTGAGCTGGCCGTCAGCTAATGCAGCAAATAATTCATTCAGATATATATATATATATATATATATATATATATATATATATATATATATATATATATATATGTATGTTCAAACAGGCATAAAAGGCTCTGATTTCATTAACTTAAAAAACAGTTATGTCTCCTGTCAGGGTCGGACAGGCCCTCCTGGACTTCCTGGGAAAAGAGGACCAACAGGATGGTCAGGACCAAGTGGGGCCAAAGTGAGTAAGTCATAATGTAGATCTTATAAAATATGTCAATATATGAGACCAATAAGAACCAGAATGGTTTATTACACAAGTCTGATTTGCAGTCAAATAAACTAAAACCCTGGATTACCAGTTATGTAACATGCAAACAGCCTTTCCTTTGGTGAACGCTTTACTGTAAACGTAATAAAAGAACCTTTAACGTTCAATGTCCGCATATGACATTTCTTATTTTAAAGACAAAAGCTCATTCAGGTTATTCATGTTTACCTTTGTGTCAGGGGGAGAAAGGTGACCCGGGGCTGATGGGTTTGCCTGGATCCAGAGGACCAATTGGGCCGAGGGTAAAATTTTACATATGCTGTTTAGTGATCTTTAGTGAGTTTTGTTTCATCGTGTTTCATGCTTGTTATAAATCTTTAATCCTAGGGCTTACCTGGGTATAAAGGGGAAAAGGTAAGTGGCACCATTCAGCTGTAAATACCGTAGGATTTATTGATTAACTACTTTGACAGTAAACTAAATGAATGTAATCTGCTCTGTCAGGGTTCCCGAGGTGACCGTGGCGAGAATGGGATGAAAGGAGACAAGGTGGGGAGAGTGTATCAGGAAAATTGTACATACACTTTGTAAGAATTCTGAATTCATGTTACGTACTCTTCCTCACTCGCAGGGTGCAATGGGTTTCCCAGGAATGCTTGGACAAAAAGTGAGTAATCCTCATTCACGCCAGTAAGGGTTCTGCCTTACAGTGTTAACCAGCTAACCAATTAAATTCATGTATTTGAATTCAGAATTTTTCTGATATAGATTTTTTTTTTTCTGTTATTGAGGGTGAAATGGGTCCAAAAGGAGAACCTGGAACCTCAGGAAACAGAGGACCCACTGGCCGACCGGGGAAGAGAGGCAAGCAGGTGAGGAGTTTGTGGGTTGCACTGTTTTACAGTAGTGATAGCAAGACAGTTGTACTTCTTGACATGTGGTGTAAGGAAATGACCCTGCACTGTTTTGAATTTAAGGGACTGAAAGGAGACACAGGAAGCGTTGGTCCTATAGGGCCAGCAGGCCCGCAGGGACCTCCAGGCCACCCCGGCCCTCCTGGTCCACCTGCAACAGGTGAAATCCCAAAGTAGATTTAAAACTCTTGAAAACTGTGGTCATAATTAAGTGTTTGCTGGAGAGATTTAGTTTGTGGATGGTCGTGTGTTTTTTTCCGTTGTGAGCGCGTGAAAACTTGTGCTGAAAGTGAGAAGGGAAAGCTCGCAGCCCGGTGAGTAAAGGAAGCCCACTTTGAAACTGTGTACGAGGTAACACCAGTAGTCTTATTTAGCACCGGAGAAATCGAATCCCCCCGAGCTGAAACAGGATTCTCTCAGCATGACATCATGTGGCTAAAATGGATTGACAGATGGCAAGCCTACAGTTTTACAAATATTATGTCAGCACATCATCAAGATGACATTTGTTATCTTGATCAAGTTCCTGTATGAATTATCCTGATTGTGTTTGCTTCTTGATTGATAAATCAAAGACGCTAGACTGACATGTGGTATTTATATCAGCTTGTGTAGGCTGTACACAACTCATTAATGCTGCTATATTCTGTCACTTTGGACTAAATATAGACCCACTGTTTGTTTATCCTTCCTTTTTTTCTCCCCCTCTTCCTGTATATGCAGGAGTCTACATGGTTGGAGCAAAGGGTGCGCGCGGTCCACCAGGGCCTCCTGGAAAGTGTAGCTGCAGCTCTTTGAGTAGTCCTCCATTTGAAAATTATGCCTCTACAGGAAATTATCTCAAAGTGCCAGCGGTGAGAGATGAATGGTTTGCAGTCAAATATAGAATCATCTGTGAAATCAGTGAAAAATCCACCAAATTAAAATGTAAAGAGTTTCAAAGGGTAATACAGTTGTGGTCAGAAGTTTACATCAGCTCATCATAGGCATCGATGCCATGGTAATTGTAGCTTTTTAATAACCTTTTGCAAACGAATGCTTTCTGGAAGTGCATTAAATGACGGCAGTGCCGTCCTCTTTTTCCAGGGTGGAGTGATTGTACAACATAGACCTTTAATGGCTTTAGGAAGGCTGTTTCAGCTCTTGATTTGAGCTAAAAAAAAAAATTCATCCACTTTGTGCAATTTACTGGTACCACTGGCAGTAAAACAGCCCTGCAGAATGATGCTACCACCACCATGCTTGACAGCCTGTACAGTATTTTTAGTTTTGAAAGCCTCACCTTTACTCTAAACATATGTCTTGGTATTCTTGCCAAATAGCTCAATCTTTATCTGATCTGACCATAAAACGTTTTTGCAGATGACATTTGGTTTTTCTTGGACAAAGCAGTGACACATCCAAATAAGTTGTTTGAACTGATAATCTTAAAATCTGCAGTGGTTTAACAATGGCTTCAAGAGACCTTCCTAACTTGTATAAATCTAAAAGTCTCCTTCTAAGACCTTCACAGAATTCCTTGGATTTTCCTATTGTTCCAAGTATTGGTCAATCCAATGACTGCTATAAAACAAAGACAGTGAAGAGAAACTCCTTTTTGAGGTCAATCATGATAACTAGCGAGAAGTTAGGGATCAAGTTAGAAGTATATATTTGACCTTTATTTATACTTTTGGCTGTGAGTGGATTAGAGAAAATACAAAATACAAAAATTTAAAAAAAAAAAGATTTTGTACAATCATTCCAATCCAGAAAAAGAACACTTCAAAGATATCATTAAAAGCATCATGCCTGTGATAAATCTATTAAACTTTAGACCACAACTGGAAATAAATAAGCTTGAAAGATAAAAGGAAGGTTAAAGTACACTTACAGGAGAGATAGATAATGCTTGCAGACAAATGTTACCAGCTGGGATGACAAATGATGGTCTTCAATGTTATTTCATAAAGTGCTAAAATGCACGGAACCCTATTATTTTGCCTTTTATTTAGATATTTGTGGTGAGCAATGAGGAGGAACTGGAGCGCCTCCGCACAGATAACGCTCTTGCATTCCGTAAAGACCAGAGATCTCTCTATTTCAAAGACATTGATGGCTGGCTGCCAATCCAGGTATAAATGCATGTAGCAACAATGCAATGTGTCCTTAAAAAAAACAATAGATATTGACTTTCAAACAGCCTTTTCCTTTTATGTTCACATTTTTTAAATTCTGCAAAAGACCTTTCCATTCCAGATCACGCCCTACCAGTCCATGGAAAATGCCCCCGATGATGAAGGTTACTGTGGGGACGGCATAGTGCAGATCTCCACCGGGGAGGAGTGTGATGACAAAAACAGAGTTGTCACCGATGGCTGCGTCAGTAAGTCATGCATCTATGTTACCGGTCCTTTTATAGTTCATTAGCTGTACTTTGCTGTGCACATATAACATGACCCCCCTGTGCCCCTGCTGTCTCATGTTACCATAGAGTGTAAACATGCCTACTGTGGAGACGGATACCGCTATGAAGGGGCTGAGGAGTGTGATGGAAAAGACTTTGGATACCAGACATGTAATTCATATCTTCCAGGGTAAGCATACAGCATTTGGGTACACAACCTTGTACTGCATGAAAAGATGTAGGTTATGAACTTGACCCTGAAAACGTTTTTCTTATGATTTGTAGGTCATATGGTCACCTCAAGTGCACAAGATACTGTACTATTGACTCAACAAACTGCAAGTACTTTACTTGAGGAGTTGTCTGGACAGTGCTGTGGCTCCTCTGTGTGTTATTTGCTTGGGACTTAACATGTAAAAAAAAAGAAAAAAAAAGAAGAAAAGACAACAATGCTCCAAGCAAAAACACGGAGGCTGCCAGTGATTCTGTTATGAAAGAAAGAACAAAACCTAGAAATATACAAACATACATAAAACTCATCTGTGTTGCTGCTGAGATGCCACATATCCCGGAGGTTATAGCTTGAGTCTTTGAAGGTGAAAATCCGCACACTGGAAATGCAAAGGAAGACTGCACGCTGTCTTAACGAGAAGGATTTGGACTGGCTTCCTCAACATGCCCAACTGGACCCGAACCAGCCTTTCAACGCAACAGTTGAGAGCCTCAATCGCGTACCAGTGGACGATGTTGCAGAGAAGCAGTAGCTGGAACAGAGGCATATTAATCTTGACCCAGTTACTGTTGAGAATAACAAGCAGTAGGACATCCAGAGCGATGGCCCGAGGTATTCTACTGCAGTGTGAATGACAGTGCACAGCATTTGCATGTATCTGGGATTACTAAAACCACGACAGCAGCTGTCACTATCAAAGCATGTAACCTATCAGTTTACTTATTACTGTCAAAACAACTTTCGTACTGTGTCCTCTCACTACCACGTCGAGATACAAAGGTAGGGATGGAGATAGAGGTGGTTATAGTGCACTACATACTGTATATATAGCGAGTTATGCACTTGTAATCTTTGAGTGAGACTGTTACTCCAGGAGGCTTGAAGCCTAGAAGTTGACCCAGCTTTGTTAGCTTGTGGTGGTACCGTACTGACAGGGACATTTAGTCTGGACAAGGTTTCAATAAATCCCCAAATCTTCTCAGGAACTAGCTAACAGGTAATGTAGCTCAACAAACAAAGCACCTTTTACAGGTATCCTCTACTGCTCTTTATAAATTACGCAGCAGTCACTGTACACTGAGGCAACTCAAGCAAAAGCTTTAACGCATCAACAATGCGCAGTACTGCAGGATTCAGTTTCCCCTCCTGTGCTGCAGTGAGAAATGAAATATACTGTACACGAAGGCTTGAAACTGTTATGTCCTTAATTTTCTCAGTGCACGGGAAGGGCTGGACTAGTCTGTAGCTGCTAAAGGGGGGAGGGAGAGGAACTCATATCGCAGTCAGTTTTCTGATCATTACTGTAAATACTCTGATACCTCTTTATCCAGTCTTTCTGTCTTACAGTATATACAGCAACAGTAAACTTAACAGTGTAGGTGTAGTCCGCTGTGTGTTGGGCACAAATGCTGAAAATGACTGTGCTGATATAAGCTGACATTTTCCATAAGCTACTCTTTGAGTCGCGGTGCCAAGGGAGACCTTTTCTCAGACATACCTAGATGTAGTCAGGTCTATAAAGCCTACAAAAGCAATCAAAAGATGAAGACTGTTAATATATTGTGTCCGCATGCTTGTGAAACTCTGCTAATGCTTCACCTTTGTCAAATACCGTTTTGTAAATCATCATTGCATTCATCAGCATAGCAGGTGTCTTAAGAACTGTCAGTCTTGCTCTGTTCAGAGAGAAGCAAAGCACTGTATGAATGACAAACCTTAAAGTTATGAACTGTGCCATGCACAAAGCTCGAGTACCGTTCTGGAAACTATGTTGAGTGTCGTGTCTGTGGCCTGTGCTGTTGTGTTCTATCTTAGACTGCCTATGTACAGCAATGCTGAAACGTGCATGTGGTGACGTGCTGTAAGGCTTTATGAAGCGTAGCAAGCATTGTGACTGGGGTAGTTCATTTTGTTTTAATACTCTGATATGATTTTTACAGTAGTTGTGAACTATTTAAAAAATGATCAAATAAAAGTGATATTTAAGTCACTCTCTTTATTTAAACTTAAACCTTGGTTAGCGGTTTGTCATGTCTGCTGTTATTGGAAAAAAAGCACACACACAAAAAACCCAAACCTAACTGGCATTGATGGAGAGGCTATTGATGTTCTCTTAGGATACAACACTCAGACAAAAAAGTAAGGGGGACATCAAAGTATCGCAGCAGTCAGCCGTTTGCTGAGTGCTGCGTTAGTCTAAATGCAAAGCAGACCACACAGTGAACTCTTGCTGTTTCTCAGACGTGGCAATGGGTTTTTCGGCTTTTTATTCCATCTTAATGAAGCCTTTCAGAGCTGAATCTGTGCCTGGAGATGAGGCACAGCGATACAGGTTGGGGACAGACCAGCCGGCCACTGTTGCAACCAAGATGTTTGAAGCAGGATGAGACCATATAACTGTATTAGCATGCTGTATTCCTCTTCTAAATCACATCAGGGCAATTTGTCTACCGAGATGCCAGAGTAAAACCTTACCTTGGTGTATTTATGCCATCATGTGCAGTGCCCTGACCGGGGCAATCACATTTGTCAAACAAATGTCCCAGTGTGGCACTAAATGTCACTGAAATTCAAGGGCTGACCTGATTTTACTGGCTCTGTAATGAAAAGATGAGCTGTGGTCACAGAAGAATCCCTCAAGTGAAGTTTACCATTTGTGAAGTAAGGTCAAATTAACTTATGAGCTGTATCCCATGCATTTTATTAACTTATTCATGCAGTGTAACTTATAGCAAGCTTGGTCTATGTTCAGCTCACATAGGTATTAAAATGATACCTATGGAAAAATGACACTCTTTTTTTCCACTACAAGGTTATTTTAGTGTAGACTGACTGGTGTAGCATTACAGCTGTGGTACATGGGGCGATGCAAAGGAAACCACAGGACAGGAAGCTGGCAGAGACCCAACTGCTTCACCTAAGCCAAGTGAAAATCCCTGACCTATAGATAAGAACTGCTGGTATCCTGGGTGCAGTGGTGCTGATTAATGCACATGCAAAATAATCACTTGAAACAGAAAATGATATACAGAAGTATTATTTAAGATTGGTACCACAGTTGTTACGACAAACTATTTACTATCTGTTTCTTATTTGCACTCAACAGTCACTGTGTTAGGCACATATTGAAAACACTGGGTTGGAAATTATTTTGCCTTCAAAAATTTGACCAAAATCTTTTGGTCAAAATTGATAATAGCATCACTGAGTTGCTGCAGATTTACCAGCTGTACATCAGTGATGAGAATCTCCTTTTATGCCAAACACCCCAAAAGATTTTTTTTTAATTTAGCCTTTGAGACTGAGTGTCTCACTTCCAAGAGACCTGCTCCAGACAAACATATTAAAATTACAACAATAAAAAAGCAATAAAATGGCTAAATATGTATAACATACACAGTCATATTAAAACATGAACAAGTTCCCAGAGATGATTTCATAAAAACATTTGTATGTCTTTTAAAGTCTGCAAGTGAAATCAACTGAGAGAGCTTCTGCAATGTACTGCATGAAGACAGGGCAGAAAAGGACAATGCCTTCTTCCCAAGCTCTGTGCGAACTGATGTTGCTGAAGATGCTCTACTGCGTTGAGATCTGGTGACTGTGAAGGCCGTTTGAGTACAGTGTACTCACTGTTATGTTCAAGAAACCAGTTTGAGTTCATTTAAGCTTTGTAGCATGGGACATTATTCTGCTGGAAGTAGCCATCGGATGTTAGGTACACTGTGGTTATAAAGGGATGGACATGGCCAGAAACAATGCTAACATGCCCAAAGTGTACCGACATCATTACACCACCACCACCTGCCATGACCATTGGAAGGGAGAATAGATGCATGCTTTCATGCAAAATAAACATCCAAGGGACTCTACCATGTGAATTTCACAAAAGAAGTGGCATTCATCTGACCAAGCAACATTTTTCCAATCTTCTATCGTCTTTGCCTTTTTCAGATCATTCCCTGTAAACCCCAGAAATGGTCATGCAAAATAGGAAATTCATTGGAAGTCATAGTAGTTCAGCAGTTTCTGATCTGGTACCAACAGCCATGCCACGCTCAAAGTCACTTAAATCAAGTCACTTCAGCAGGTCATCTGCACTAACAGGTGCACCTAATAAACGGACAGTGAGTGTATAGTTGGCACAGTAAGTAAAGAGCCTTTACCTCTAGGCACGTAAACCACATGGTAGCATATTTAACTTCAGCATGACAGAAGACAAACTGCAACTTAATTATGTTTATTTTGCAAAAAATCAAATAGCATCTTATTTACATCCATAGAAAAAACAATTATTTGTTGTAATATTACAACAGAATATCTAAAGGATTAATATTAAAACTCATCAGAAATAAGCCTATTGCACACCTGTGATGTAAACCTACTGCAAATGACTTATTTACTGTACAGGAGTTTTTAAGTGTTTGCATTCTTAAAATAAAAATAACAATAATAAAGTTGAAAATACTATCCGGTAAGCTTCTTTTTAAAGCCCTAAGATAATTTTCCTGCTTTTTTGTTTTGTTTTTTTCAAATGGCTCAGTGAATTTGCAGTCAAATGTTAACCCAGCCTGCAAGAGCAGTCTTACTGATCATTTCACTAATTGGACATCAATAAAATATTAAGTACACCTGGTAACAACACTTAACAATGGTATGTACAATAGCATGGACGATAAGCTGAAAATGGTTACTGTTCTGTAACTACCACTTTTAGGATTACTCATTTACTCACTTCAAGCCCTTGGCCTGGCACCTGTTGCTAAATACACCAAACATGCAGTAAAAAGCATGCCTTATGAATACAAATGTCCATACATTCACACAAAAGTTGGACAGAACAATTCATGTCATTAATGTGAACTTTATAACTTATGGTATAATAAATAGACATTGTAAAAATGCATAGGTTTGTGCAGATGTCCACATGAACAGCAGTTGTCAATATTTTTAACAGCTATGCGGTTTCCTTTCTTGTTTTCAGTTACTGTAGGCAGCAGAGGCTAAAGCCATTCACATGACAGTTCCTTTTTGGTCCACTTGGAAACTTTGAGCAACAGCTCACAATGACATTATGTAAAACACAACAAATCCATTGTCAAACTGCACAATCTGAATTCATTTTCAGGGAAAAATATATACACATAGTAATGTTTACTAAGCTTTTATAGTAAGTACAGGAAAATATTTAT